ACTATGCGAACAAACGAGTAAGCAGTGCAATTTTAGTTTAGTAGGCGGCGAAACTACCGGAACGTATCAATTTTTAACGGGATTTTACGGAATGGGGGACATGCCAAATGAATTCCAACGGGTCTTGGATTCACTGTTGAAAAATATCCCTTTCGCAAATTGCTACATAGACGACATCCTGGTAGCTTCGCGTGGATCCTTCGAAGAACACAAAGCAATAGTGTATAAAATCTTATAAATATTAGATAAGACTAATATGGCGGTTAAATGGGGGAAATGCACATTTTTAAAATCAGATATCGAATGGCTTGGCTTCAAAATTGCCGGCGATAGAGTACGACCTTTGGGCGGTAAAGCAGACGCAAGAAAAAACTTGCCAATCCCCAAGAAAATTTCCGAATTACGTTCGTTCTTCGGTTCGATAAACCAGTACGTAAAATTCGTCCCTAACTTATCGACCCTAAGTTCTTCCCTTCGTCCTCTACTAAATAAAAAAACGGTTTAGAAATGGGACAATAACCACTCAATAGCGTTTGAGAAGTTAAAAGCGCAAATCGTTAATATCACAGAAAACAGTCATTTTTGATATAAAAGAGAAGACAAGACTGAAAACAGATGCTTCACACAACGGACTAGGCGCGAACCTAGAACAATTACAGGGCGACCAGTAGAAAACAATCGCGTTCGCATCTAGATTTTTGAATAACCATGAAATGAAGTATTCTACCAATGAATTAGAGTTGCTGGGAGTCGTATGGGCAACCGAACACTTTAGAAACTACCTGTATGGAACTGAATTTCAAATAGTATCAGACCATAAAGCATTACTATCAGCACTCTCAGCAAAACATGTGAATGAAACAATGCACAGTCGATTGACCCGTTGGGTGAACAGACGTTTACCATTCAGTTTTGAATTATCGCATTTACCGGGAAAGCATATGGGTTTTACATATCTTCTATCTAGACTTCCTTCGGCCAAAGCCCTCCCAATTTCTCACTACGACAATGAATTTGTAGTCGCTTCAATCGACAAAATTCAGAAAATTCTATTGAATAAACAACATTCTAAAATTGTTACTGTAAATACTGTAGATAGACCAGCGGTCGCTGTAAATACTTATTCTCGAGTTATTACAATCCCGTCGGGAAACAAAAATTCAAGCGACGTGATTGGTCAGAATCAGTTAAACAGTTCTTTAGCTCTATTTAATCTCAAAATTATTGCTGCTATCATATCTTGTATCGCTTGGTCAATAAAACTTTGTCATAAAAATCATACTCGGACAGGAAATTGTACTTCAATTTGCCAACCTGTTGATAACTCAAAATTCAATTTTAAAAGTTTTACGTTTGCGGAAAAAGTCCTGTTACATTTTAGATTAGAAAACAGACAATTTTTACCATCCTCCAAAAATCGGCTAGAATCCCAATGGATAAAGTTAATGAACCCCTATTGATCATTCCGGAGGACTATAAAATCGCTCTCAAATTCAGAGATGACCGACTTTCACCCGACCACGCGGACCTCGTCAGAAGATACAATGCGGACTTAAATCTACCGATTTCCCCGATCCGCCCTGAAAACCACTGTTCATAGAAACTGCTGCATATTATGACCAGGGAAGATAAAGTGCTGTGGGACTTGATCGAGACTATAAAAACGAATCGACCAATGGGCATACACGGACCTAACATGAAAATCTACGCCAAAGATCTACACGTGAAGGACGATTTGCTTTTCCTCGATAACAAATTAGTCGTTCCAGCTACCATCAGGGGAAGCTTCAATTCGATGCTCCATGAGACTCATCGAGGACAGTTTGGGATGAAATCACTTGCCGAATACTTGTGGTGGCCGCACACTTATCGACAAATTTACCACCACGGGAGAACGTGTAGTCAATGCTTAGAAGCTGGTAAGAACATCAAAAATTTACTAGTTTCTCATAATATTCCGAAACTTCCGACGTTGACATTCGCGAATGAGGAAATCAATCTGGACTTTGCTGGACCGTTAGACACGTTCTGGGGTAACAATAAGTATATCCTTCTTTGCATTGACCGCTATACAAAGTTCCCTTCGGCCAAAATTGTTAACAACAACTCTACGAAAAATGTAATTTCCTTCTTAAACGATTACTGTCATCTTCACGTGTTCCCAAGAAAAATCAGAGTCGAACATGGGTCATGCTTTTTATCCCATGATTTCAAAAACTTCTGCGAAAAATTCAACATTGAAATTTTTTACTGCACAGTCGGCGATCACAGAACCAATGGGATGGTGGAAAGATTAGTTTACACGATCAAATCGAAGCTACTAGCAATGTCTTTCAAATTACCCAAGCCTTCACTAAACGAGTCGATTGAAAAAAATATTTGGAACTTGAGAATCTTGAAGCAATCCGCTATCGGCTGTACCTCATTTGAATATATTTTTTAATAGAGCAGCGAACACTAGGTGGAAAAACTTTATGTCCGATATTGACCATCATTTAAATAAAGGGAAAGCTATCATGTCCAAAGATCGAGCCACTAACTGGGAACTCCACGACGGGGCAGAAGATGGATATCTGGACGAGGAAAAGGACTCAGACCCAGAAAACAACCTGCCACTAACTAGGACGGTCACTAAAAATACGAACCCGGACGAAAACAACCAAGAATCAGAACCTCTCGCAAAAAAAAGCAGTCATGGGAGGTAAATTGTATAGAAAGGTCTCGAACAGGAAAAATAGGGATCCATATTTTAATCTAGTTAAGAAGGATATTATTGACTCTTCAGAACAAACCATAACCCTTGGCAACGGTCAAGTTTTACGCAAATCAGATCTGACCATCAAAGGAAAAATACGCCCTGGGTCTAAAAAATAATAGTGAATCAGACACCCACCGGGCTTAAACTTCATACTCATTCTAGTTTAGCTGGAAAAAGGAAACTCTTACCACCGAAGAAAGCAGTATCGACACCCTCTGGGCATTCGGGACAAGGCACCTCAGGAGCGATCACTAACAGAGCATGGACTGGCGCACCGACTGCGAGCGTGGCCACTCAAGATTCCTCTCGAACTTCTTCAGGTTCTTCATCCTCATTAAATCTAAACTCGTGGGACGGGATAATTGATGACTACTTCGACGATGTGACCAATAATAATGTACCTCAGAGTCATCCTTCCGAATCTAACCAGGGCTTAAGTGTTACAGGTACCGTCGACTCACCTCACTCGAGCTCAGAAAGGCCATTAAACACTGACCTCCGGGAGATCGTTAACATCCCCGTCTCAACCGAAGCAGAAGGTTCTCAAGACAACCCTATACTGTTAGACAGTACTCCGGATTTTACGGCCAACCCGACGATAAATTTACGACAATCTAGACCACGCAGGAATGTGGGATCTCCACAATTCTATAGAAATCGCTGCTTTATCGACGTGGTCCTAGAAAAAGATGACACAGGGGCGTCACCCTCATTTTTTACTACCTCCCCCGGCATTCCCAGGGCAACTTTCACGGTCTCATCCATGTCTGATTTATTGACACCACTAGCGGAGGCCCCTCCCCGACGAACACTCATTGCGAAAACGATATTAGCCTGGTCATCAAAGAATTCTCTCCCGCCGGTCAAACCAGTAATTTCACCAATGAAGACCCTGTTCAACGAAAATTCCTCGGGCTCACACTCAGCTTATCAGATTGCGAAGGAATCTCCGCACGAGGTAGACAACTGCAGCGAAATTTCCTCGACTATCGATTCGGAAATGAGGGCTAAACTGAATGATTTTGACAACCAAATTAACTAACTCACTTATTAAATAAACTGAGAAAAATACAAACTTTACCCATGTCTCACCTTCTGGTTTTATTTGTTATCTGTAGATACAATTTTACATGTTGATGTACATGTTGTGGATTACCGTTAGCTTAGCTTTAATTTAGTTAGTTGCTGTATTTTGTAAATTTGTAATTCTGTATATTCACCCTGTACATTGTACATTCTCTCTCATTTGTGGATACTATTTTGCTTCTGTATTTTTACCTTCGTGGCGCAGATTGTAAAATCTTGTTCATTCCCGAAGGGGGAAGAAGGGTGTATATAGAGTTATGTAGTTAGTATGCAGTTTTTTTTTCCCGGTGGGAAATGTTGTGATTTGTTTTAGTGTCTTAAATGACTTTCGGTATTTAATTAATACCTGTTAACCAACTTAGTTACGACCATTGGTCGATATGAGAATTGTCAATTGTATTTTCAACGTTCTTAATTCACATACTTCCTTTTAATAGTTTTAGTCTTTTAAGTTTATGTACAGTACTTGTACATAGGTACACAGAATTAGAATAGTTTATTAAGCAGCATGCTGCGAGCCTATTTGAAATGCATATTTTATACGATATCAATTTTCCGTGTCAGGAGGGAGGCAGAGGGGGTCAGTTAGGGGAGGGGGATATTGTACGGTTGATCCGAAAAGATTTTAGGTAAGTTGTTGAGTCTGATTTTTGCGAGACAAAATGATTCTTGTCGAATCACAAAAATTCAAATCATTACTGTAATTTTACTGCTTACATGACAGATGGTGTAATAATTTTCATGAAAAACTGTGTTTGATTACAGTTTCTCAACGTTTTTGACCAAAAACTATTAAAAACGACTGCAAGTTATGTTTGTAAGGTGTAGCGAAGGATGGAAAGATGAAATATTTCATCCTCGTTTCGAGTTGTTTTTGGTTAGAAAGGTTGAGAACAATTTTCAATATATCATATGCGTTTTTTTCGGGGAAATGTTACACCACAATTAATTTAACTTGTAGAAAGCACAGTACTGGTTTGATTTATATTGAATAGAAAAGAACAATTTTGTCTTCGCGAAAATCATACTCAAAATTTGACAAGAGTAGATGCTAACCGTTTTGATGAACTCAATTAATATATATTTTTTTATCAATTATGAATCAGAGTCGAATTTTAGATATATTGATTTATTGATTGTCAGTGATGGGTTTCAGGCTACTCTGGAGATGATTGTTGGCGGGAATTGTCGAAACTTGAAGATACTGCACCGGAAGTTCGATTCAAACGGAATTCCGTGTTCATCGACGAGGTGGAAAATAGACTATGCATCAATGGGCTCATACCCAAGTAAATAAATCCGGGCAAGCTGCGTAACTGTTCTCCTGAAATATACGCATGTGCAATCTAAGCTCAGATCATGGCGGGTTTTGAACCATCTACTTTATAACTGAGACTTCGAAACCCTAGCCATTTCACCGCTGCTTTTTAAGTGCTTCTAAACTGCCTAATGCACTGTTTCGTTTTGTGTAAGGGGGACTCATTTTGCTTGTAGACTCTTACGGGTTTCACAGAAAGTTTCCGAATTGAACACATGTTGAAGATTCTCAGATTGTTTTACGGCTACGGAGTGGAACTCAACTTTCGCTAGACATGCTGTTTAGGACGTCAGTTACTTGTATGTTTCAGGAATGAGAAGGGGGAGAAGTGGTCGCTGTTGCAAGGTTTCAATATTCAAGTGTCAATAGAGGACACGACCAGTGGATTCCCGATGGGTAGTCATATGGCGGAGTTCATGTTCACCGATGATAATCGTGAAGCCAACGGGGGTCCCGATCTCGAAGAAGTGCTCATGTGCTTCCCAGTTGGAACCGCTGAAACCATTCAGGAGCTCCGACAAGGTTTGTAAAACAATCTAATTTTTCACGAGAAGACTTTTTGAGTTTTCCGTTCTGATAGGCACGGATTGCCAAAAATAGACAAAAACTACTTTTTTGTTTCGCCGAAAGCTCCGAAATTAAAAATAGAAAATCCGCATGTCATGTTGAGAAACATGAATTAAATTGAAGTTTGGGTCCATGAAAAATCTTGGGTCCAAGCAGTGTAAAAAGTACCAATTTTTTTGATCATCCTTAAGGGTGGCGGATTCGACTTGAGCTTTTTACAGAGTTGCCATTCAAAAAAATATCCAAGAAAACGATTCAACAAACTATAAATTTTCATATATTGCATATTAGAGCAATCATGAGTTTTCATGTATGACAATACACAAGCTGTTTTGTTATGAGCCTACTGTATATAGTCTGTAAAATTTGTGCGACAGGTATGGCGCCATATAGGAATAGTGCATGGCTTGCTTATGTTATCTCGCTGTTAGTATCTCGCAGTTTTAGTTCGTCATGCCAAAAGATCACATACCATAAATACATGCTGTTCTTAGACTTAGGGTTGGGTCTTAGCAGATTTAGGGTTGGGTCATACCCTTGATATTTTCACCAATACACTCCAGGTGTCTCGCATTTGGTATTTTTTGACATCCGTTTTTGAAAAAATTCTGAAGGTTATTTTGGTTCCAGATATTAGTGCTCTTTAGATTGGAGTGATCGTCAAAAGTTAGCAGTTTTTGGTCAAAACTCCTTGGAAAGCAAAATCTTCCTTATTTGTTTTGAGAATACTCAGAAAGACGATTCGACAAAACGGACCCATAAATTTCGCGCCAATATGAATAATTTTTCCGGCATTTGAAAAAGTGACAAAATATATTTGATTAAGCAAACTTTTTGCCGCCTTTTGTTCTGCAATTTTTATCAGCTAAAAAATACCGATGCTTGTTTGAGTTCAAACTAAAAAGATTTTTTCAGCTCTAACTTCGAATAAAGAGACGAAAATTTTCTGCTCGTTGTGGTTTTCTTCAGACAACTTCAACTTTTTAGTTAACAGTTTTTGACCTTTTTTAAAAGTACATATGAATATTTTTTTTATAAAATGACAATTCGCAACCAAAGACAACTCCTAGTAAAAAACAATTCGAAGCAACGACGTGCGCGTAGCGCGCCTACCGACGACCATAAACCAAACTCCCTATGCTTTTAATAAAGCACAATTTTTCTTGCGAAAAACAGGGTCATTTTAGTGGGAAAGTTTTGACTTTCAATTTAAATCTAAAAATATATATCGAAAATTTTTTTGAAAATCCGCTCTTTGCAAAAATCTTTGATCCGCGCCTCGTTTAGCAGCTTTTGGTAAATCCTCTGCGTTTCTATCAGCACAGAAATGGAAAATGATGAACTATTTGCTTCTTTAGCAGCTTTTGGTAAATCCGCTGCGTTTCTATTAACGCAGAAACGGAAAACAAGACTGCTCGTAACATGGCGAAGTCCTGAAAAATCCGATATGCTTATTCACCCTTTGTGTATGAGGGATTCCACCGGCAAAAAAGCTTCCTTGAACCAATTTGGAACGAGTTCTAAGACGGTTTAAATTTTTGCTTACGATTTAATAGCGTAAAATATATCGCGCGTTAATTGTCTCAAATTGCCCAAAATGGCAATCTTTGAATTCCCATAATTTCACAAAAATGGTTACAGGTGAAATTCAATTTTAAGCTCAGGACAACAATACCTTTTGAATGATATTTAAAATATTCGGTCAAAAATGGCTAGTTAAAAAGTCGAAGTTGTCTGAAGAAAAAAAACCCACCCTGAGCACAAATATCCCATTATTTTTGTTACGAAAGTCGGAACAATAATGAATTATTATTCCGACTTTCGATACAAAAGTAACGGAATATTTGTGCTCGGGGTAGGTTTTTTTATTCAGAACTTGATACGAGCAGTCTTGTTTGGTGGAATCCCTCATACGCGATGGACCGAATGCGCGAAAACAAAAATGAGCCAATCAGATTTCAGTAATCTAAAATTTGGGAGAAAAGTAAATATTTCCAGTGATTGAATATTGTTGATATTGGCGGAATATAAAAACGGCAGAAATATGCAAAATTTTCAAATTGTCACTGTCCGCCGCCAAATTGGAGCAATTTTTATATTTTCAGGGTTTCGTTGTGAAATAAGCAAAATATTGCCTCATTTAATTCGATTTAATTAAATGGCAATTGCTTCTTTTTAAAAATTCACTTTGGGCTAATTTTGTTTTCGGTCCTTCGCTCACGATTTTTTTCGCCCATTTGGTCCTTCGCGCATGAGAATAGCCCCCCCCCCCCGTCTTGTTTGTTCCTTTAGCAGCTTTTGGTAAATCCGCTGCGTTTCTATCAATGCAGAAACGGAAAATAATGAACTATTTGTTCCAGATGACCAAGTGTATTCGAAATATACGCATGTGCAATCTAAGCTCAGATCATGGCGGGTTTTGAACCATCTACTTTATAACTGAGACTTCGAAACCCTAGCCATTTCACCGCTGCTTTTTAAGTGCTTCTAAACTGCCTAATGCACTGTTTCGTTTTGTGTAAGGGGGACTCATTTTGCTTGTAGACTCTTACGGGTTTCACAGAAAGTTTCCGAATTGAACACATGTTGAAGATTCTCAGATTGTTTTACGGCTACGGAGTGGAACTCAACTTTCGCTAGACATGCTGTTTAGGACGTCAGTTACTTGTATGTTTCAGGAATGAGAAGGGGGAGAAGTGGTCGCTGTTGCAAGGTTTCAATATTCAAGTGTCAATAGAGGACACGACCAGTGGATTCCCGATGGGTAGTCATATGGCGGAGTTCATGTTCACCGATGATAATCGTGAAGCCAACGGGGGTCCCGATCTCGAAGAAGTGCTCATGTGCTTCCCAGTTGGAACCGCTGAAACCATTCAGGAGCTCCGACAAGGTTTGTAAAACAATCTAATTTTTCACGAGAAGACTTTTTGAGTTTTCCGTTCTGATAGGCACGGATTGCCAAAAATAGACAAAAACTACTTTTTTGTTTCGCCGAAAGCTCCGAAATTAAAAATAGAAAATCCGCATGTCATGTTGAGAAACATGAATTAAATTGAAGTTTGGGTCCATGAAAAATCTTGGGTCCAAGCAGTGTAAAAAGTACCAATTTTTTTGATCATCCTTAAGGGTGGCGGATTCGACTTGAGCTTTTTACAGAGTTGCCATTCAAAAAAATATCCAAGAAAACGATTCAACAAACTATAAATTTTCATATATTGCATATTAGAGCAATCATGAGTTTTCATGTATGACAATACACAAGCTGTTTTGTTATGAGCCTACTGTATATAGTCTGTAAAATTTGTGCGACAGGTATGGCGCCATATAGGAATAGTGCATGGCTTGCTTATGTTATCTCGCTGTTAGTATCTCGCAGTTTTAGTTCGTCATGCCAAAAGATCACATACCATAAATACATGCTGTTCTTAGACTTAGGGTTGGGTCTTAGCAGATTTAGGGTTGGGTCATACCCTTGATATTTTCACCAATACACTCCAGGTGTCTCGCATTTGGTATTTTTTGACATCCGTTTTTGAAAAAATTCTGAAGGTTATTTTGGTTCCAGATATTAGTGCTCTTTAGATTGGAGTGATCGTCAAAAGTTAGCAGTTTTTGGTCAAAACTCCTTGGAAAGCAAAATCTTCCTTATTTGTTTTGAGAATACTCAGAAAGACGATTCGACAAAACGGACCCATAAATTTCGCGCCAATATGAATAATTTTTCCGGCATTTGAAAAAGTGACAAAATATATTTGATTAAGCAAACTTTTTGCCGCCTTTTGTTCTGCAATTTTTATCAGCTAAAAAATACCGATGCTTGTTTGAGTTCAAACTAAAAAGATTTTTTCAGCTCTAACTTCGAATAAAGAGACGAAAATTTTCTGCTCGTTGTGGTTTTCTTCAGACAACTTCAACTTTTTAGTTAACAGTTTTTGACCTTTTTTAAAAGTACATATGAATATTTTTTTTATAAAATGACAATTCGCAACCAAAGACAACTCCTAGTAAAAAACAATTCGAAGCAACGACGTGCGCGTAGCGCGCCTACCGACGACCATAAACCAAACTCCCTATGCTTTTAATAAAGCACAATTTTTCTTGCGAAAAACAGGGTCATTTTAGTGGGAAAGTTTTGACTTTCAATTTAAATCTAAAAATATATATCGAAAATTTTTTTGAAAATCCGCTCTTTGCAAAAATCTTTGATCCGCGCCTCGTTTAGCAGCTTTTGGTAAATCCTCTGCGTTTCTATCAGCACAGAAATGGAAAATGATGAACTATTTGCTTCTTTAGCAGCTTTTGGTAAATCCGCTGCGTTTCTATTAACGCAGAAACGGAAAACAAGACTGCTCGTAACATGGCGAAGTCCTGAAAAATCCGATATGCTTATTCACCCTTTGTGTATGAGGGATTCCACCGGCAAAAAAGCTTCCTTGAACCAATTTGGAACGAGTTCTAAGACGGTTTAAATTTTTGCTTACGATTTAATAGCGTAAAATATATCGCGCGTTAATTGTCTCAAATTGCCCAAAATGGCAATCTTTGAATTCCCATAATTTCACAAAAATGGTTACAGGTGAAATTCAATTTTAAGCTCAGGACAACAATACCTTTTGAATGATATTTAAAATATTCGGTCAAAAATGGCTAGTTAAAAAGTCGAAGTTGTCTGAAGAAAAAAAACCCACCCTGAGCACAAATATCCCATTATTTTTGTTACGAAAGTCGGAACAATAATGAATTATTATTCCGACTTTCGATACAAAAGTAACGGAATATTTGTGCTCGGGGTAGGTTTTTTTATTCAGAACTTGATACGAGCAGTCTTGTTTGGTGGAATCCCTCATACGCGATGGACCGAATGCGCGAAAACAAAAATGAGCCAATCAGATTTCAGTAATCTAAAATTTGGGAGAAAAGTAAATATTTCCAGTGATTGAATATTGTTGATATTGGCGGAATATAAAAACGGCAGAAATATGCAAAATTTTCAAATTGTCACTGTCCGCCGCCAAATTGGAGCAATTTTTATATTTTCAGGGTTTCGTTGTGAAATAAGCAAAATATTGCCTCATTTAATTCGATTTAATTAAATGGCAATTGCTTCTTTTTAAAAATTCACTTTGGGCTAATTTTGTTTTCGGTCCTTCGCTCACGATTTTTTTCGCCCATTTGGTCCTTCGCGCATGAGAATAGCCCCCCCCCCCCGTCTTGTTTGTTCCTTTAGCAGCTTTTGGTAAATCCGCTGCGTTTCTATCAATGCAGAAACGGAAAATAATGAACTATTTGTTCCAGATGACCAAGTGTATTCGTATATACAAATGGTGCCTCTTCCCCCTAATGACGACTTGAAGCCCGTCGACTACCCCGGCAACCCGGTCCAGATATCCAGTCTGCCTGTGAAACACATAGAGCTGCACAACTGCAGACTAATAACAATGGAGAATATCGCCAATGCAAGCGAAGATGATGAAAGAGCAGTTGTTTTTAAAGACGAGAAAAACTATGTGAGTTCAAAAAAATTTTCTGACTAATCTGCAAAGTGGCCTGATATGACACTTTTGCTCAAAGTTGAAAAGGTGCTCGACTAAATTTTATTGTAATGGCATTAGTCAAGCATCAAAAAAGATGAAAAACAAGTTCATATGGATGCAAATAGCTATTAGAAGGTCTCAAAAAGAAACCTGCTGCTCAATATATATTTTAAGACTTTTAACTAAGCCATCAAGCCGAAAAGTTATTTATTGTCCCATTTTTAAAGTTAGTCGAACTTGATTTTTTGGCATAAATTTGTAAAAAATACGGCTCTTCCTCCTCCCCCCCCCCCCCCCCCTTACCAGAAAGGAAAAGAGCCAGAAAGACATGTTGAAAATGCGGGCTCTTTTGCCTTTTCCTACGTTTTTATCTTGCAAGCAACATCACTTTTTTGATTGAAAGAAAGAATTAGTCTAGAATATACCATATCAATTACGAGCGTTTCGCTTCCGTTATTAATTTTTAATACATGCAAACCGGGGCGGACCTTTTCTCGTGGGGGGGGGGGGAGGGGTCGGATTTATTTTAGAAAACAGAAATTAGAAAATTTTGTCAACCTTTTTTATGGTCAACCAAACTGATTTTCCGAGCGCTCTCGAATCACCATAAAAACCTATTTTGACCAAACTTTCTGCGTCGCAGGCCAATTTTTTCAGGCAATCTTTCTGTGTTTCTTACTTTGAAAAACGTGCAAACATTTTCTAAATTTTCTAAGTTTTTGCGGAGGCAAAATTTGTGTTGTGAGACTCAAATCTACATCAGTTTGTATCATAAAAGTTATATTGATTTCTTAAAACTTAGCATGTTAAGATGAGAGCAGTCGGAACAATCTGTTTATCGTCTAAAATTGAAAGAAAATGCAAACATGCAACTTTTTACAAAATTTTTCTTCAGTATCATTGGAAAAAGATGACGATCGTGCTCTCTGTTGTGATCTCGCTTCTTGCTCTCATACTGTTTGCTTGGGGTATATACAACTATTCTTCGCAACTGAAGCCAAGTTTTGTGAAGTCTGATTATTCTAACGAAGTTGCTGATGTCAAAGAAGCAGACTGCGAAGTTCAACTGATGGCAATAAATCAGGCTGCGAAGTCAGGTGATAACTTGAGGATGAGCGAGCAGGACTCAAATAAGAGTGCGCGAGAAGACAGCTTCGTACATACAAACATGTACATACAAACAAATCCTCATCAGGCTTGTTCATCTGATGAATTGCAAATACAAATGCAATCAGAGCCCGTCGCTTGTTTTTATTCATGTTTCAAATAAATGCACTTTTGCACAAATTTTGTACGCTAAAAAATTTTAAATTAGCTTAAAATTCTTATGAAAAAAGAGGTATCATTGGGGGGGGGATATTTAACATGATCCCCCAAAAATATTGGCGTCTTATGCACTAAACGACCCAAAATCAGCATTTCTTGAACTCAAAATAAAATGGTTGAATCTGATTGGCTAATCATATACTCAAATTCAATCAACATGGTCCTGCATTTCAATTAAAAATCCAAGCAGATAAAATTTATGGCCGAAACAACCAAAATTAAAAAACTTTTCTTCTGCTGAAGCCATTTTCCCAAGTTACTTGAAAAAAAAAATCAGACAAAGTTTAAAATTTTGGTAATTTCGGCTAATATTTTTTATCGGCTGAAAGTTTTGATTGAATTGCCTGAAAATGTTGCTTGAATTTGGTGGCGTCCCTCATGCTTGAAGGACTGAATGCTTGAAATTAATTTTAGATTGCTTTCAGCTAATCCGAATTGAATATTCAAAATCTCAAAGTAAATCACGAAAATCTCCAAGAAAGAAAATAAATCCAGGCCATTAGTGGTAATATTGACCGATTAGATAATAAGCAGATGAGTTTTCAAGACTAAAAATTCTTTGTGATTTTGACTTCATTAATCTTGATGAAACCCGCAATTTGTAACCCGCAATTTGTAACATTTTTGATTATTTTCCACTGATTTAATACATTTTCTGTTAATATTGACTTCGATTTTGTGAGAAAGGCATTTAGCCAATAGAAACGCTGAGCGATTTTGATTGGTTGAAATTTTTCAAGCATTCGGTTCTTCAAGCATGAGAACCCTCCCCCTTGAATTTGAATGGTTTATATTAGCCAGTCAGATTTGACTGCATAAGTTTTAATTCAAGATATAAAAATTTTGATTTTGGGCCGTTAAGTGCAAATGACCCGAAAAAAGTTACAGAGAGGGCTGTAAGATAAACATTGTAGATATACTGCGCTAATTTAATTTATCCAGATTTAGTGATCAAAATCTGAAACTGAAAAGCAGGTTTCAGATAAAAAGCAATCAACAAAGAGATTTGCCGTAGAATTCGGCCAAAATTGAGAAACTTACAAGTGTGAGTTTCAAAAAATTCAAAATATTATCAAAACTATTTATCACTATTTACAGTCACTATTTTTGAAATTTGGTCACCCTGGCAAACACAGTCATAGTCACTATTTCTCTCTCAAACAATTGGTCACCCTGAAGGGACCGGACGTTGGTTAGAACCTTACAAAAACATGCGTGCGTTCAGTTATGAGAACATAGATTGCCATTTTTTTTGATAATATGTCATCAGTCTCTTGGAACTAATTTACTTAATTAAGACATCCGATGAGTCACAACGAACCTAATTTCATGTTGGAAAACTATCGGGCTCAAAATTTTTGAAGACAATCTTGATATAAAGACATTAAACCCATGCAATTCTTAACAGCAGTCGAACATTCTGTCTATCATTTCCATTTTTTACAAAGCGTTGTGTAGTATATTGATTTCAAAATATTATAGTAATAATTGAACTATTTTTGTATAATCTATTTTAAAAAAAATTTTTGAGCTGTTTCTTCACTTTTTGTATCAGTGTGACTTCATCATATGCAAAAGCGTCAGCTTTGTAACAAATAGTAATTGTTTAAACTGCATTTCTTAGTATTGTCTAATTTGATAGTCGTCCAACTATAAACACCTGAAATCAAAAAAACTCAGATTTATCGGCCAAATTAGCAATTTCTACGATTATTGCAAACCAACAATTTTTTTATCAAAAAAGATCACAAATGAATTGTTTTCTACATTTCTACAAGTTACTGGCTTAAAAACCCAATTTTTTGTTATAAATTTAATTTTTTTAGACTGAAATTATAGTTCTGAAACTTGAAATTATAGCTGCTGAGGTTAGATTTTTTCATGAAAGCTGTCGATTGGCTTTAGTAAACATAATCTATAATTTATCCAGCAAAAAAAAGAAAAAGTATTCTTTTGATGCCTTAAAGCTAGTTTTTGAAATCTGAAACCAAAAACCTCAAGCTCACTCAAACTCTGTTCGTAAACAGAAAAAATTGATAGCTGGTCTAGTGTAATGTAGACTTATAAACTAAATTATAACTTAAAAACAAAAAATTTGCTCAAAAAAGCCTAAGTTTCTGGGGCTGAAACTATGATTTCTGTAACTGAAACTATAGTATGTTTACTAAAATTTAGAGTGTTGAAACTAAACATTGAGATTGGGACTTCTAATATATAAGCAAAAACTGCCGAAACGATACATTTTTAAGACCAAAAACCTAGTTTTAATGGGCTGAAACTGTAAGTTTGAAAGCTCAAACTAACACCATTTGGAAGTTTTTTGAATAAAAAGAATTGTGAAGGAATTGAGGACTTCTAATTTTACATATATTTTTCAAAATTTAGACGTAAAACGCAAAGTTTATGTGTCTGAAACCAAAAATAGTTTCAACCTCAAGGAATCAAGTTTTAAAATTAGTTACTTGGATTGTACCACCGTTTGTTTTCTCTTAAAAGTCATAATTCGGCGTTCGGAGATCAATATTTGATCAAAAGTTCAATTTTTGTGTTCTGAAACCTAAAAATACCAACATCTTACCATTTAATACAAAATGTTTTGCTCATGGAACCTAGGTTTGAGTTCACTAGTTGCCGTTTACTGTTTTATCTAAATCCATTAGCAAAAACTTATTTATTTGACCGAAAACTATCCTATTTTTCTGAAATGTTTGAACTTATAACTGAAACCTAGACTGAAACCTAATACTTTGAGTCTGAAACTAAAATTTGGTGTTTGGTGCTATGTGGTTGACGTTATTGTATATTTTTAATGTGTTATTTTGATCATCATTTGCTGTATAACAAAATTTATAATAAAAACAATGATTTATCGTTACTAATGATTGACTTAATTTGAATTTATGTTAGGGTAGATTGATTTAAACAAACTTTATCGAAATTCGATGCTCACCCTGGACAAATGATGAAGGGTTTGGATATATCACGGCAGAAGAGAAAGGTTGGGTAAATATGTGATGAAGGAATCCATGTATCATACAATTAAGGGTACTCTTCGATTATATATAGGACCTCTTAATCCCTTTCAAAAAAAAGTAAGATAATTTAAAAAATTTTGGAGCACTTTAGATTTAAAAAAATAATGATGCTAAGTTCAACTTAAAATTTTGGCACCTATTTGTCGGGTTGAATGAGTTACAAGACAAAAAAAGTATATTCTACTGGCCTACGTAGGCAGAGAACAATTCCTTCAGAAAAAATATAAATATTTTTGTAATAATAGTTATCGATTGTTTCATGAGCTAATGTCAGTCAGAAAGCTGTATAATATTTCCTCGAGATAGAGGAATATCGTGGACGTGTGTTAGCGTAGGGATACTTTTCGCCTGAGCCCTTCCAGGAATGTCTCTCAAGTAGAAAACAATTTTTGTGATTCTGAGGAAAGAAACCCATTTTCTCACAAGTAAGTAACGAACACAAATACTCATAGATCCTATCACCAAGAAGTTTTCGAATTTAAAAGCTGTTTCGAGTTTGTTGGAACAACGTGTTTCATTAGAAGTAGTTCTCTGCTGCGGTCGCACCAGTTTTACTAGGCGCTTCGTGCTGGTTGATTGCTTAGTAACCTAGTTTAAGCTACAAGTCTCACTTAAGAGCATGAACTTTTTTGACAAAATTTATAGTATAATCAACCGTTAGAAAAAAGTATGAATTTGTTTAATGGATAGTTAAAATTGACTGATGTAAAATTTTAATGAAATACTTTGTTTAGTACCAACAGAGACGGGGTCAATAGCTAGTTTTTACATTTAAACTAAATAATTTTTTGCCTGTTGTCCGCGTCAAGACTGCTGATTGATTTGTTCAGCTAATGTCTTTCAAAGTGTTTCCAGAACGTGCAAAAACTCTAAAACATTACCTTATTATTTTTATGAAAACAACGAAGCAAAAAGAAAGAAAAAAAAGAATCCCGGAAAGTGTTACTTTGACTGAGTGAGTGGAAATGAGAATGGGAAAAAAGTATGATGATTTTGGGCTGGTCCAACTTCCATGCGAAAATTCTTCAAAGTACTTTTGTCTAATACTAATCTTCGCAGACTTTGTTTCATCGGATATCTGTTTTATCTTCCGGTCTTTGGGAACTGCAGCATTTTTGTTTTCTGTGTTTCTTTACTTATTAAATAGCCTTTTTTCATTCAATCTTTTATTTGCAGGTTTTCTATTTCGCTGAATTTTTGGTTAGGTTGCAAAAGGACCAGGTGCTTATAGCTTTTTGTCTGTTTTTCAAAGCAGGGTTTTTAACCGGTCATCCTGTATAGCAACAATCTTTGTTTTCGATATCCGACAAAATAGTGCGTACAAAAAATTGGATATTTTTAAGGAATCCAATTTTGAAAGATTTACCAAAATCGGACTACAATACAAAGGGTTGACATTTTGAAGTGGAAAAGAGTCCACTCTGACCTTAAATAAACAATTAAAACAATTTTTTGTACTACCTGCCCGTGTACTTCCTTTTCGTGTACTACAATCAGTAAGTGTTGGCGCCAAAGGCCCCTTTAGAAAAGTTAAAAAATTAATAACCGAAAGCAAAATAACCTAGATTTATTGTTCGACCAAGTTAGCAATTTTCTTATGATTATTGCGAACACCTTTAAAATTACAAAAAAAAGATCACAGGTGAGTTTTTATTCATATTCGAGCTTCAGGCAACATAATCTTTCAGATGGTATAACAAATTTTCGTCGAAACTGCTTGGCTTGAAAATTGAAAAAATGGCTGAAAAAAAAACACCATAGGCAATAATTTCAACAGAATTTTCTTCAAAACTTTTTTTATAATAAGATCATTGTTCAATTTGAGAGTGACTCTTTTCTCTGAAAATTTGAAATCTGAAATAAATGTAAATTTTTTATTGATTTTTCATCAATGTTGAAATGAACGTAGTGACAAGAGTCATAGTAGAATCTGAAATTTTTTTTGAATAATTCGACAAAATTTGCTTCCAAAGAAAAATCAAACACCATCGGAGCCGAATTCTCAGGACAATCCCAGATAGTATTTGAAATTAGTCAACATCCAAAAAAATGCAGCCCAGAAAATAGGAGAACCGAAACAGTTAACATAATTGGCTATGCTAAAATGGAGTTTCATTTTGAAATCGGAAGTTCTCATGAATTCGAAAAAAATTACCTACAGACAATTTTGAAACTTTTTGAACCGAAGACTGATACATGATAGACCTCTGGAAAAACTCGTTGTATACTAATCATTTGGGTTTTCGGTTCAGAAAAATTGAAACATGCATGTAATTTTTACAATGAAACTGCAGGCCGTATATCTTTGCAGAAAAAAACAAAGAAGAAAAGACAAAAAGTTGAGAAATCAAACAATTTCCAGATTACATATGTAACATTTTACAAATAACATTTTTTTGCCGTGTGAAGCTTCATCAAAAAAGTTCTAAAAGCTTAAATTTACCGAAGATTCCGAAAAAGAAATATTGCACATTTATTAGCGAACATAACAGTGAATTTTTGTCTCCAAATTATCTAAACCATCATCAAAACCCAAAAATTTAAATTAAAAACTGCTCGTTTTGAAAGGCAAGGTCGCAAAAAACCGCACCACAATTGGAACCAAAAGTTTGCGAAAACAATTCATTTACTTTCCACCGTATGTTTCCAAGTTTAACCGTTTTTTTTTTTTTTTTGAAAATTTCATGAATTGAAACAGGGGCGGATTTAGGGGGGGGGGGGGGCGTACGCCCCTTCCACTCAGGGATTCGGTCCCCCCTTTGGTACTTTTTAAGAAATCCATTTTTTGCCGACCGACCCTAAAATTTTTCAAAAGAACCCCCCACCTCCCCCTCGAAAAAATCCGAGATCCGCCCCTGAATTGAAAGGTTAGAGCCTTCAATATTTACGGAGCAAACAAAACTATAACTTATAAAAACATCGTCGAATTGGAAAAGGAATGATTTTTTAAAATTACTACAAGATTTCAAAACCGCTATATATTTCAATTTGTTTTTCACGATATCGAATCTAACAAAGCAGTTTGTCTAACAGTGTTAGAACAGCTCAATGATCTTTAGAGATCTCACCAGATTGCTTTAAAAATTCTACTGCGGTTTCAAATTTATATTTTTGTTAATTTTTTCACATCATTTGAATGGGTAAACAGATTCTTAAGAATGGATATCCTGTAAAAATGTTATCCAATCTTTCAGCCGGGTCAAAAAAAACTTCAACAGAACTTAAAAAATTATTACGATCAATTAATTATTAGAATGAATAGGAAGGTCGAATGGAAGTATGTTAAGGTCCGAGCGCTTTGCTTTTCTTAGTTTACTTAATTGCATCTTTCACCACTTACATGGGAATTTTAACTTCTGTAGCTTCTAGTTTCTTTATTTTGCGTATAACTGCCCTTTTTTGACATGTGTTTTCCACATTAACACAAGATTAGCGTATCACACAAAAGTCTATCACAAGATTATCGTATCACACAAAAATTTATCCTTATTTTAAATTTAAAGCTCTTTCATTTCTTATTTGAGCTGCAGTAGGAAGAATGTCTATTGGCAATCATATAAGCAGACCTAAATAGACTGTAAGGTTTTTTTTTTCAAAAAATATATGCTCAATTAAATTGGCATTTTGTTGCAATTTGTCAATACGTTTTTCGACAAATCGCAACAAAAGACAACTTATACAACATTTAGAGTCGGTTTGCATCGCAAAAGGTTGACACACGCAGTCCGCAGCCAACCGCAACCCCAAAGCTAAAATTTCCAAGTTTCAACTCAATTTTCAATAGCGTGAATTTCTAAATTTCAACTCAATTTTCAATAGTGTGCCGAGGGCGTGGCAGGGGATGCAACCCCTTCAATTTGGCCGACCGCCAGAATTTTCAAAAGGTATCCCTTTGATATAACTTTACGAGATTCATTTTTGGCTGGCCAAAATCAAGATTTTCTAACAGCGCCTTTCGCGCCAGTATAACTAAGTTTGAGGGGGGTTGCGCCGAAAAGAGCATTTTTATTTTGTCAACTAAAATTTAAAAGTTCTCAAAACGTCGAATAAAAAAGGTCAACAAAAATTCTAATTTTTTGTTTTCAAAAAACTGCCTCCGGAAAAGCTGTCTCTCGTGGAATCAATTTCAATTTCAAAATCCGATATTCTCAATGACAATTTCAAAAACACCTTTTGAAAACTCTATGAAATTTTTTTTTTTCAAAATTCAATTTATTAAAAGCACTGAGATTGAAAGTTTCAGTCCAGCTGAATGTACAGAAATTTTCTGATAAAAAGAATGTTTTTTATGTGGAAAAGACTGCTAAGACCTTTTGAAAATTTTAACCACAATTTTTTTAATTATGCGCCTTTTCTTCAAAATATGCAATAAAATCAAGGTCGTCATTAGAAATTGTTGGTAAAAAATAGTCTTAAAGGGAGCAATTGGTAATGGGAACAGGGGCGCGGCAACTAAAGTTTTATGTTACAGACTATCATAAAAAATCTCAGCCCAAAATTCAAAGTTTGTCAAAGATAAAATTTTTCAACAAAAAAAACATATAAATTAAAGTTTTCTGACAGATTAAGCAATTTGAGCGACAATCAACGTTTGATTGAAACCATTACACGTCAGCTCAATTTTAACATTTTTAATTTTACTGTTGATGTTTTTGTTCCAACCTTTGAAAAAGTTATTAACATTTATGTATGTGGCAGTATTTTTCTTTCAGACAATTATTAGCTATCGAATTAGTATTTTTAACCAAAAAATGTTTTTACTCCATCGAACAGTTTGACTCCTTGAGTTAATGTGCAAAAAATTCTTTTTTTTCGTGAAAATCTAAGGGCTTGAGAATTGTCATTTTGGCCATGCTCTCACTAACTTATGCGCAGTTTGATAATTATAGTGCTAAAATCTAAACCCACAATTTTCACGCGTGGCAATTTCCTTCCCCTACAAAACTGTTCCAAATTAATTTGATGCCAGCAAATGGGTCGTATTTATTTTCGTACACCTCAAAAGTTCCTACTTGATGTTTGATTATGTCTAGAAAATATGGTTTTTATTTTTTTTTACTAGAAATTACTCAATTCCCCATAAGGCGCAGTCGTAACACCTCGGGATTTGCTCTGATGTACTAACAGTCTTTGTTCGTAAAATTTAAGCGGTTTGAAAAACGCAATATAGTTTGTTTTTTCAATGCGTGAGCCACGATTTGAGCAGTCTGTTTGGAATTATTTAAGAGTTGCTAGACGCTAAATACAATGTTATATATTTAACATAGCGTGTTGCGGTGGTGCGCTAAAAAAATTGTCTGAAAAAAAATCGAGTGCCTGTCAAAATTTAATGAAGTCATAAAAAAGATACGTCATCAGTCAAGCAAAATTAAGATAAGAAAGTGGATGAACGAAACAAATCAGGATTAATTAATTCGTATTTCAAAGAAAGTGACAAAAACTTTTTTCTCCAGACAAATTTTTGTTTCGTGACTTTGATGTTTTTTTAAATATCGAAAAGATATTGTTGTTTTGAGCTCAAACTGGAAAAGAATTTGACTGATAATTATTTTTTGGAAGGTTCAATGGATTTTTAGGTTGACAATTTGGCTGACGTGGCATAATAAACGCGCGATATACTTGAGCAATCAACGCGTAACGGATATTTAACATTTCATAGAGCAATCAACGCGTAACGGATATATAATTTCGAACAATTTCTTAGACATTGTTCCAAATTGAGTTGAAGATTTTGTCCATTTCTTACTTTGCTAAATGCTAAAATTGTCACTTTGTGATTTACAAAGCGTGGTGTGGGGTTCTCAAAACAAATCTCAAAAAAGTTGAAATGTTTGCCAATTTTTTTTCTCAATTTCTACCATTTTTTATTGCAAAAATAGAACTTTAAAGGCAGTCGTTACATTCAGGGCTGAGTCGCGATTGGGGCAGTCTTGTTGTTCTTGCGCATTTTTGTTTTCTCATTACGATTCTTTTTGGTTCATGAGCGTTCTATTCTGTGATCTGTCTGATTTTGAGGGTCTTTTGGTGGTTATACCACCCCCCTAAATTATATGAAATGAACAAAAAAATGTTAATCAAAAAATGATTCAATTTTTGTCAGAAACCCAGGGCCGATATTAGCTTAAATTTTCAAGTAAGTTCGAAAATCAATTAATTTTTTAGGAAGTTAAAAGTAAAACTGCCTCATTGAAAATTCGGCGAAACGTACGCGCTGATAAAAAATTGTAAATTTGGGTAAACAAAACTTGAAATATCGAATCTTTAAACTACATTCTATTATGTCCTACTGCATTCTTTAACAGCATGCCATTTAACACACATGCTTATATGCCTGTTCCGAATTGGCCCCACTATTGCGAAAGGGCAAATTGTTAACGTTAGCAAGATCCGACTTATTCCTTGGACCTGATACAGGCGTTCGATTCTCATTGTTGTATTCCAGAAAAAAAACTATCAGAATTCTGCTAGTTGATACATTTTCGAGTTTCCAAACTTTCATGCTTGCCGAGCTTTATGATAGTCGATTGGTCTCCCCTATGCTGTCATAGATATGCACTTTCAAATAAACCTGAGATCGAGGCACATTTTCAACTGAGCTAAATTTTAACGGTCGTTGCACATGTATAAAGTATAAAAATATTTAGTCAATTTTGCAGATCATACAGAACAGTTTGCATATACAGTTACAATTTGATTGTGTTATTTAATACATGTATTTTGTGAACAAATTCTGAACAACGTTGCATGAAGGTACTGCAGTTCGATCGTAAAGACATAACGTTTCGCACATGCATTTTACGAAACCTTTTGACCGCTAGAACTCGCAAGTTGACCTTCGAGATTTGCAGCTTGGACGCGAAGAAACACTTGGATCTACAAAACAGAATTCCAAAGTCGAAAACTTGATTTACCATGTAACACGCTTCGAACTGATTATGATTATATGTTATATAATGATTATAGTCATATATAATTGAAATTTCTCCGATCACATAAATTTTAATACATTTTGTAAAAAGAAAATAGTTATTTAAACTTTATCAGAAATATGAAGTCCCGATCATTTATACGTTCTTCTTTTATTTCATCTCCTAATATCAAAGTACCAAAAAACTGTTGTTGCTCCTCCATAACATGCAAACGATTCAGTTCCAGTAATCAGCATTCCAGAAACAGTAGAGCAAACCCCTTGACTTTGGACAGACATTCGGTGTACAACCGGTACGAAGAAGTTGTTAAGTATGCGCGGGATGAACCGGACAAATTTTGGGCCCAGATGGCGCGAGAGAAAGTGACGTGGCACAAGCCATTCAGTGTCGTGAACGAAAGTGACTTCAAAAAAGATGGACGAGTCAGGTTAGGAAATTTTTTGAACGCCCTTAAATTATTCTGACTATACGAATACAACAGAGAGTGAGAATGAACTTTGAGTTACATATGTGGCGTTTTTTCTCTTATTCCGCCCAAAACTTTTTTATTTTGCAATTTTGGAATATTCAAATGTGTAAATGCAGAGAAAACACTGATCACATCGGATTGGTTAGGTTAAGACAAATGCGATCACTTGATCTTTAGTCGATTTCTAGCAATAAGGCAAAACTTTGATTCTTTGTTTTTTTTCTGCTCTGGGTAAAACCCTGCTGCTTATTTGAAAAAGGACCAAATTAACATCCTCCACCATCCCAAAGCAGTTTGGGAGGGGAGGGAAGATGTGGTGCTATGGATGTAACCAGACAGGTTTTTAGCAGACGCAACAATTATAAAGTGCGATAGCAAACGCGCGATTGGTGATTAGGGACCCCTTGCTCCGCTGCGCCTCAATTCAACACGAGTCTTATTGTGCGCTTAAATCTTTGTCTTTCCGCTAATTTAGACTGTTGTGTTTTTGAAGTTAGGCTGCTAAAATGAGCCACGTTCAAAACATTTTTTAAACATTTTTACACAGCAAATCAAGAAACCTAACACTGCTTGACGACATAACGCCGCTTTCATTGTGGTGGTTTTCGGTTTCTACGCTCTCAGAAGTCATAGACTAAGACGATTGAAAGTCCTTTACAGAGCCAAAAAGCTTGTTCGTGTGTACCCTCCCAGCGTATAAAGCGGGAACGCACGATTCATCTCTGTGCGGCCGAGGACACAAGGGTCACTGGAACGGAGTGGTACCAACCAGGAACGGCGAGTATTTAAATTCCTCAGAGGCCAACAGTGGCAAAGACCTAGCCAGTCGGAGCACCTCTTACAACTAATTTATGACGAGAACCTCCCCAGGTTTGAAGGTGGTCGGGTTTTTTGTTTTTTGTGAACAAAGAATAGGATGCAGAGATCTATACCGCAAAGATAACCAAAAGTTTTCTCAAACCAACAGATATGCTTTTGAGTGTTTAAAATGCAGTAGTTCTGCTCTGCTTTATCCTGAAAGAGAGCTTCAGCAGGTACAGACGAGATGTAATCATTCCTGTGTCACCCCCGCGCAAGAGCCGAAAGAAACAATCAGAACAATGACAACAGAAAGGACGGAACCAACTCCCTGGCCCCACAGTGACCAGGAGACGTCGTCCGCGCGCAGGACCCGAAGGTGTCAAACGAGCTCGCGATTAAAAAGGACCGAAACAAAAGTCACTGTCTCCATCCCGGACAGGATTCAGCATTGTGAAAAACGAGGGGCAGAAATTGTCGTGAAAACCCCACAAAGCAAGCAGTCCAGTCAAAAGGCTCTGACATAGGCAAATCAAAAACAGGAGAGGAAAACTAAGGCTCACCACTGAGGAACACCGCTAAGCCAGTAGAGAAAAAGGATGTAAAGAGAGGGGTAAACTCCACCTTCCTGACATGGAGAACATGCAAAAAAATGTCATGACCACATGAACCTGCAAGGTGTTTTGGACCATGAAAGAAATAGAAGCAGCATGAAAACGCAAGGAGTAATGTGGCTTGGAGAAATAGGAAACTAAACGGTCATTATTCACTGCCAGTGCAGTGGAGTAAAACTCAGGGGTGAGGCTGTCAAATTCTGGATAGAGGAAGGCCAGTAGAATAGAAAAACTTTTCGCAATGTACTACCGCCGTCAAAACACACAGTATGAAACTTGTGTCTGTGTACCAATTTCTGTGGAGTAACGGAATTGATGGAATAGAAGAATACAGACATTAATTAACTGGAACTCCAAAATCAATTAACTGGAACTCCAAAATTGGTGGGGATCATAATTCTCACATTGGAAGGGACATGACTGGTAAAACAAATGGTAGGTGTGGTCTCACGACTCCATCAACTGAAGCAGGAGGAGACTTTCTCCGCTGGTGCGTAGTACATAATCTCTAATGGGTAACTCTTTCTCAAAAATTAGAAAGAGAGGTACAAGGTTCAACCACAGCCACCGCCATTGGTATTAACTTTATCAGATCTCATTGAGTGTATTAGCGACAGCATTAAAAAATGAGACTTTGAAGGTCTGTGGAAAGAAAACTAGACAAGCAGCAAATCCGTGGACAATAGGTCTACAAGATGAACTGTACGATCTCTATGAAATCATAAGTTCAGCTGTGAGGGGAGCAAGGAATCCTTAAAGCGAGACCGTCTAAATGGCCTTATAATGTGCAACGAAAAACTACCTAGAACAAGCAAGGGTGAAACTGAAGAAGCTCACAGAATTGGAACGTGAGTGGTTGGATACTATCTTAAACGAACACCAACAGGCCAAAATAAAGGGAGTTATGAGCTCCGTATACAGAATACTTTGTCAACTAGCAGAAGGAGATAGGCAACCGGACATTGGCACAACCCTCAAAACCGAAGAATTCAAAGCTCAATTCAAAGAAGTCTCGGAAATTGATATGAAGTTTACCCTAAAGTGTCACCCTAAAGTACAACCCTAAAGTACAACCCTAAAGTACAACCCTAAAGTACAACCCTCACAACCGAAGAATTCAAAGCTCACTTCAAAGAAGTCTCGAAAATTGATATGAAGTTCACCCTAAACGGTAGAACAAATGGGTTTTCATAGATTAGATGAAAATTATTCACCGGTGAAAATAGTCCGCTAAATCAAACCCCAACAGACCTGGAAATGCTGGAGTTCATTGAAGATTTAAGTGAATGCGCGCCTGGTAAAGATAACGTCCGAATCATATATATCAAGTTGTCATGCAACCATGTTAAACAATTAAAACGATGTTCTCTGAACTAGCCCCAACATGGGGTGAAATCTTGAATCTTTTTCATGAAATTTAACCATTCTTGCGTGAATTCTTGCAACTTGAAATGTGGTACATGTGTCCTCAGGGAACCAAACCATAGTTGCTTTTTCATATGATGGGATCGCAATAACCTTGATCATTTTTGCAAGGTAAGAGTATTCCTTGGTAAATTACGGTTTCATCTTTTAAATCTCGTGTTATTTGTACTTTGTCTAATTGACTTTTCTAATCAAAAAACATTATTTCTTGATATCTTTTGTTTTTTGTGTCTGCTTTACAATTAGAAGAGTTGTTTATTCCAATTTTTGGTATCCAATTTTCATCATGGAGGTCATAGGTTAATCGTTAATGTATTCCAATCTAATCACAGAGGTATGTTGTTGGTTAAGTTCTCTATATCTATCATTTAAATTTGTAGGGAAATTTAGTGGAAATGTTATAGTTGGAGTTTGACTTTTTGTTGAAGGGGTTGAAGGTAGTGATAAAGTTCCTGGTAGTCACAAAGTTGTATTGGATGAGATATCAAAAGGGTCATTTACCAAGTTTGGCTCACCTTCAGTGTAAACTTGTGTCATCCAATGTAGGAGATGTTGTGTTGAATTTGGGGGGTTAAAAGGGTTTTAACGAATTCGTTCGGATGTGGGGGTTTGATTCTAAATAATCCGTTGGTATGTTTGGAATGTTCTCTTGTGAAATTGGTTGTAATGGTGGTAGGGTTTTTGGAATTGTACTGATGGAAAGGTCCAGAGAATTTGAGGATGGTGATGAGGGTATAATAAAATGAAGTCTGGGAGTTGTATAATTTCTAATTCGTCTTGGATGGATGATTTGTCAATTTCTATTTCGTCTTGGATGGATGATTTGTCTATCTATTGTAGATGTTTGATTTTGGTTTTGACTAGGTTGTCTTGTTTTTATCAAGGTCTCGTTGGAGAGAAGGATAGATATTGTATGTTGGCTCGTATTGCGGTTCGCTTAGAGGTGCATGGCGAGATGCGGTTATTAAAGGTTCTGATAGTAACTCGTGTGTTTCTTCAAAGGTATGGATTTTCTTGAATTGAAATGCGTGTTGATGATTGGGGTTGATTTTTTGACTAGACGTTGGTGTTGTTGGAAGTTCCTGGGATGTCGTAGTCGGTGGGGGTTATTGTGTAGGTTGTTGATTAACAATTTTGAAATGTTTCAAATGTTTTTTTATGTATAAAATCTATGTTGTTTAAAATTGTCTTCTATGAAAATGATTAAGAGCATTGTTGCTAGTGCGAAGGTGATTTTTGAAAATTTTTTATACACTTTTATATTGTCACAAAAAAGGAAACTAGAAAGGTGACAATAATAACTAAAAGAAGCAGGATGTCTTTCTTATTGAACAAATGTCTTTAAATTTAGTTAGTTGTTGAAATATTGTACCTGAGGAGATGGTCAAGGATTTTTGAGAAATTGAGATAGGCTTTTGCGAGAAAATTAAAAATTACGAAAAAACTGCAAAAAAATAACAAGGATTAAGAGAAATATTTCAAAGACGTCTATGATAAAAAATATACTAAGTTGAAAAAAGATTGATCGGAAAAAAAAGTTTGAAATTTTATTCTTGAGGAGTCGAACTGGTTGAGAGAGAAGCATTTGAGAAATGATTCGTCTTGTGTCAAAAATGTGTCGAAATGAGTAAAAAATTGAGTGTGGTCCGATTGTTTTTTGATTTTTGATAATTGGTTTATTATAGGCAATTTCTGGTGAAGGGAAGTCTGAAGGTCTAGGAATGAGCTTCCTGGTTTTGTTTTTTGGATGATATAGGAATTGTGTCTACTTTAAGCCAAATGATCATGTCGTATTTTTACTTTAGGCGTATTTAATATTTTTCCTTGAGGGAAATTTGTAGTGTGAGTTGAGACAACATTGTTAAATTTTGTACTGATTGATAGGGGAGGCTTGTTAAATTTAGATTTTTTTTAATTGTCAAATATAAGCGTGTTGCTTATTTTTGACCTGGAGGTTTTTAAGTTAAAGTTTCATAAATGTTAGAAGTGAGCAAAGTGTCGGATATTCCTTTTTTTGGATATTCCTTTTGGATATTCCTTTTTGTGTTACAAAGTTTGGTATTAAGACATCCGTTCTGATTGTTATGTTTGTAGTTGTGAATCGTGAATTAATTTGTTATT